TATAGGGCTAGACCTATAGTTTTATAGACCGATCGGCACAAGATGGGTGATGTGGACAGCATGACGCCGGATGCCTTTACTTCCCGGGACTGCACCCGGTACCTACTCAAGGCTGGGTCAACCTGGGAGCCAGGGTCAAATTTTGACAATAGTCCGGCTTCGCCAGTGAGCGAACCCACGACCTTCTGATCCGCGGCAAGCCGCTCCGCCACGGCGACTCCCTGCGGAGGTCATGGCAGTGACTAAAGCAATAGCCTGGCTAGAAACACAGACCTTCACCCGGGCATGATTTCTCAGCGACTCTGTGAATATGCTCAAGAAGATCGAGAAGGGTTACATACTAGGACAATGGGCGAGGTCCCTAAATTGATCTAGGCTGACAAAGATCAGCTTCATATTTGTTTCGGGGCATTCTGGTATGAAGGGCAATGAAGGAGCTGACAGATTTGCAAGTGTTGCTCATGTGGGAAACAGACGAGCAATGGACAGAGATTATATACTGAATGCCCCCAGCATGTCGGCTCGATTAAACGAATCAAATAATGCCCTCAGAGAGTCCCCTCGATTGAACGAATCAAGTAATGACTGTGAATCTCCAACACTTACGAGACTACACGAACATAACACGAAAAGGGGTGAAGCCAGACAAGTGCGTGCTACACAGGGGCCCAAAGAAGAATAGTAAACCAACACAGAACTGGTGTAATAAGCCACTACACGCCGAGGGAGATACTGAAGAGGGGATCTGAGCTCTTATGGACTGAATGGTTCGATGTGCGATGATTATAATCTGTCGACTAATTAACTAATATACATATACATGGCTGGCACCTTTCCGTCTTTCCAGACGATAGTGTTGTACTGCCCTATGAGGAGGTATGGGACTCACAGCGCATGGCGATGGCGAATCTGATTAACAAGACCCGTCCGTGTCAGTAAAAGTCTTGCACAATCATAGCTTTTCAGGACCACTTTTGTCAACATTTGTGTTCAATCCGTTTCTTCCCAGACACTCAGTTGTCATTTTTTTTTTTTTTTTGGCAATCATTTCTTCCTTCGCGCTCATTCCCTTCCTGATTTGCCCTCTCCACACAACACGGTCCGTGGCATTTTGTTCCCATGAATCCTCCTCAATACCTGTATAATTCATGTCCCGCTTGCACACATCCTTATACCGTAGTAGAGGTTGGCCTCGACATCTTCTACCCGTCTTTAATTCACCATAAAGGATGTCCTTAGGGACTCTGCCATCCCCCATTCTCCAGGTATGACCCAGCCACCTGAGCCTTCATAGATGAGCAAGGAAAAGACTGTTGTAGTACCTGCTCTTTCCAGTACCTCAATGTTTGTGGTTTTGTCCTGATACACAATGCCAAATATTCTTCTTAAGCGTCGCACTTGAAAGCTATTTATTCTACTGCGAATAAGTTGACCAAGTTTTACTGCCATAGAGCAGAGTGCTGAGAACACAAACCTGATAGACAAGAGTTTTTGTTTTACCCGTGAGATTTCTGTTTTCCTCTTTTTGTAAATCCCATACAGCGAAAAATGCCAGTCAATAAATTGTGCAATCTATTGTTTGTGTCTTCTTTATGCAAATTCACAATAATCGGTGTTAGCTTCTCAAGTATAGAGATTCACAACTTTACACTTGGTACAAATGGAATGATATCTCCATCAAGAGCCAGATTGACTTTATACTTACCAGAGTTCAAGGAAGAAGGAGAATTCTTGATTCAAGAGCAATCCCTAATGGTCTATATGACACTGACCATAAAATAGTTGTGTTAACAGCAAAACATCTTACATTAAAGAAACACAGAAAGAAATTAAACAAAAACAAGGATCTCATCAAGATAGCAAATCTGAAACAGGAAGGAGTAAAAGAACAGTTACAACAGAAAGTAGAGACAGCATTCAAACAACTTCCACATGTAGTTGGCAATATTGAGGAAGAATGGAGTATATATAAAAACACTATGCTTAGTATTGCAGAAAATTATGTGGAAAACGGAAGAGTGGAAACAGACGGGGAAATAACAAATATTCACCTTGGTGGTGCGAAGAAGTAAAAGAAGCAATTAAAAAGAAAAAAGACTTAGATAAACAGTGGATAAAATCAAAGAAAGAAGAAGATTATATAAACTATAGACTGCAAAGGAGAGAAACCAACAGGAGTGTCAAGAAAGCAAAACAAGCATCCTGGGAACGTTTCGGTGAGTCACTAGCAGAAAATGAGAAAACAGCCAGCAGAAAAATTTTCAAAGTGGTTAAAAATATGCGGAAAAGAGATGAGAGCTACAACCCCACTGAAATAATTAATGATAAGACAGGAAGGCCACTGATAGATCCACCCGAGATTGCAGAAAGATGGAGGGAATACTTCAATGAGCTCTTTAATCCTCTAGGAGATCATCAGGAAAGAACAACTGAAGAGCACAGAGCAACAGTGTTAGAACCACACATACTAATGGATGAAATAGAAAAAGTCATTAAACAGTCTCCCAAATATAAAGCACCAGGAGCTGATAGATTACCAACAGAAATAATTCAAGCAGCAGGTGAAAGCAGCATCAGATTGCTTCACAGAATATTCAATGCAGCATGGGTACAACAAACGGCCCCTATTGATTGGCAACATGCAATAGTTATACCATTGTGGAAGAACAAAGGAAGCAAACGAGAATGCGGTCAATATCGAGGCATCTCTCTTTTAAGCCATGTTGGCAAAATGTATGCCAAGATAATAGAAACAAGACTGAGACCAGTTATAGAACCACAGCTGGCAGAAGAACAGATGGGATTTAGGAGAAATAGAAGCTGCACAGATGCAATCTTCACACTTAAACAGTTAATAGAAAAGAACATTGAATACAATAAGAACTTATTTGTGGCATTCGTAGACCAGGAGAAGGCATTTGACAGAGTCGACAGACAATTATTATGGAAAATAATGGCAAGATATGGAGTAAGCGAACACCTCATCGAAGTGTGCAAAGGTTTATACAGGGATTGTAGAAGTGTAGTTAGAATAAATCAGGGAACATCTCATCCTTTCACAGTGACATCTGGAGTAAGACAGGGGTGTGTCTTATCACCACTGCTGTTTATCACCTACATCGACAGTATATGCAAGAATGCCAAGCCCATGAATGAAGATCTTAGTAAGATCAACGAATTACTCTTTGCAGATGACCAGGCCTTGATAGCAGATACAGCTATGAAATTTCAACAACATCTAACATCCATGAATGAAGAATGTAAAACAAATAATATGAGAATCAACACTGAAAAGACAGAAGTAATGTCAATAGGAAAAAATAAGACAGATCTAAACATAACAATAGAATACAAAGGCATTAAACAGGCAGATGAGTTTAAATATCTGGGAACTACATTTACCGAAGATGGGAAATTGGATAAAGAAATTGACATTAGATGCAGTAAAGCAAACCAAGTATTGGGACAGCTAGCCCCCCCCCCCCCTCTTACAGCATAAGACAATCCCAATCAGCACAAAGAGACATCTTATTCAAATCATATTTATTCCAACTCTGTGCTACCAGTGCCAGACATGGTCACTCACAACAAACCATAAAAGAAAATTAGTAACCACGGAAATGAGATGTCTGAGAAGGGCTGTAGGAGTGACCATAAGAGATAAGATCAGAAATGAGATCATAAGAGAACAGGTCGGCACAGAACCAATTCTGGATTACATACAAAGACAGAAAGTGAAATGGTTTGCCCACTTAGAGAGAATGCCTTGTGACACCATACCATACAAAGCGTAAATGGGAAGAGAAGAAGGACGTAGAGCACGTGGTTAACCAAGAACAAGATGGAAGGATAACATCAGAGAAACTCTACAACAGTACGATGTGCCTATGGTCGAGGCAGCCAGAAGAGCTAGAAACAGAACCTTATATCTTCCTCGACACCCACAGCGGTAAAAGAGGAAGTGAAGAAGAAGAAGAAGAAGAAGAAGAAGCTTCTCAAGTAAGGACTTTAAAAAGTTAACACCAATTTTTAAACGAAAAACGAAATGTATGTCTCGTAAACAAACTGTGACTGTGACAGACCAGATCAGGGTCACCACTGTCTGCGACGTTGTAGATGACGGAGTGGTAGAAATCACGGATGTGTGCCAAGGGTGTTTATGCTATTTATTTTTGACCCCTTTGAAAGCTGATTGCAAACTTTACTTTATAGTAACGAGCTATAGTTATAGCGTAGCAAACTTCTGGTGTAACCTGATGATAGTGTTTATCTTATAATTAATTATTATAGTAGTAGTAATAGTAATAATAGTAGTTATCAGTACAGTTGTGGAATGATAGGATACTATTACTAATAGTATTAGTATTACAGCATATGTTTTTCTCGTCTGCGTGGCTATAAAATATACTATGATGGTTTGAAAGCACAGTAAGCTGTGGATGTAATTTAACAGGACAAATCCGATATATCATATAGCGTGTGCAACCTCTTAAAAGCTGTAGTAACTAGTAACTAGTAGTAGTACTAGTAGTGATGGAATAGCCGACGATACACATTAACTGTTATAAACTGTATAGAGGCAGTCGTACTCAGTTTAATGTGTTTTATTTTGGAAATAATGAAAAGTTTCAGGTCAGTTCATCATATTGCGTGACATCCAGGCATGTTTTGACTCATATACGATTATATGTAGACAAAAATTATTAGATATTGTTAATTATTTAATCATTTGATTATTATAAATTATACCATGTATGGTTGTTTTAAATTAGTCATATGTATAACAGCTGAATTATTACATACACAGTTGATCTAATTAAGCTGTGTCCATATTGCAGCAACAAAAAAACATGTTGTGGGTTTAAAGATAAGGCATTACATAATCCATCAGTGGGTAGTCGACTTCTTGAGGCATACAGTAGATCTCTTAGTCTTAAGTTGTCCCATTGTGCCAACAACTGGGATGCAGATAAGCATATTAGGACATTTTTGTGACAATTATGTCGGCTTCCATAATAGGAGGTAAGTTTATTATAAGTAGTGAAGTAGATTCTGCTAGAAAGTATATGTAGTTTTTGAGTGTATTTTATCTGTGTATATTGTGTGGACTGAGAAGGGGGAGGATGGCAGGGGACACACACACATATACATTATAATTGATGAAATAGGTTCCTCTTGTGTATTATATCAGTGTGTGTGTGCATGTGTGCGAACACAGAAGGGGTGAGAGAGATGGATAGATAAAGGACACATGCATACACATTTTATAATGAAATAGATTCTGCTTGTATATTATATATGTAACCAGGAGGAGGGGTACGGGGCATACATTCATACACACAGACACATCCAAACATTATGAAGTGAAGCAGATTTCACTTGTTTACACGTATGTGATTGTGTGTGCATATAGTGGCGAGAGGAAGAATTAGCAAGAGAAAAGACATATGCTTGTAAACATTATAAACAGGAAAGTGAATATGCATGTAGACATATTCAGCAAGTGTGTGTATATGTGTCGACACACACACACACAATAATGAAGTAGGCCTTGCTTATACATCATATATAATGTGTGTATGTATGTGTATATGTATGAGGCAGAGAAAGCAAAGACACACACATCAATATGTGGTGAAGTAAATTTGTGTTTCATATGTAATGTGAGAGTGTATGTGTACATAAAGAGAGAGAGGGGATATAAATAAATACACACATTGACACACCCAAGTTTAAGTGGTTAAAATAATAATTAGAAACTCCACAAGGGAGCATGTACAGCAGGAGTCTACCAATCATCAGTAGAAGTAATCTCTCGTCGACAAATGTTTCGGCCCACAAGCTCCTAGACAGAGTTGGTACTGTGAGATAAGATAAAATAGATTTTATTTTATGTAATGTGTGAGTGTGTGTGTACATGTATGAAACAGAGGGAGAGAGAGTGAGGAAGGGCATAAATACATGCTGTGCACACCCAAATATAACTGGCTGAAATAGATCTGATCCACATGTAACGTGTGAATGTATGTGCAGCAGAAGAAAGAGATCACAGACAGAAAGAGATCTATACATACACACATGTATGATCTTTCCTGCACAAGTTCTAGGTCGAATTTGTCTTGAAGTTAGATGTACTGAGCAGCAGGCTTGTCAAAATAGTATAAAATAGTATAATACAAATGGCGGAACTTTTTGCATTCCAAACTGTTGTTACTTCAGCTCATTCTGCGCCAACCAATTATATTTTAAAACACTACATATGTAAATCTAAGGGAGTTGATATAATCATCATCATCATGTAGCAGGCCCTTTGTAGAACGTCGCTCTCATCACGGTCTGCCTGAAAGAAACTCGGTCTCTCGCCAGCTCTCCTGCCTCATGTGCCTTCATACTCAAGGAGTCAGTTATATCCTGTGCCCATCTTCGTGTCGGTGGGCCCTTGCACCTCCTTCCTGATACCATGCCTTCTGCTATAATTTTTTCTAATCCGTTGTGGCACTTGATATGACCTCCATTTGTAGACTGGAAGCATATAGTTTCGTCGCCCAGCTTCTGAGTCGAGTGCATGGTGTGACACTGTGAGCTACATGTGTTTTTCGTTGGCACAGGAGCAGAGCAACTATGGGGTGACCCGTTTGCTATGAAGCTGAAACTAGGATTACCAGATTACCAGATTGCTTGATATGACCAAAATATTTCAGCTTCCGAGACAGGATGCTGTTTATTAGCCACAATCTTCCTTGATGTTTAGATCTTTCAAGGTGTCAATATTTCCCCTCTTCTTTGTCAAGATATTCTGAGAATCTTTCAATGACATTTCAGCTCAAAAGCCCCTATTTTTGGCTTTCATGATGAGTTTCTTGGGATAGTAATGTGGTAGTTTCCCGTTGCTTTCCACATTCACATAGCTTTAGACTATGTCCTCAGACTTCAGCAATTTTTTAGATTGCTAGGGCAAATGAGTGCCCTGCTCTGTAATGCTCCTGCTAACAGCAGATGGCACCCCAGAGGTGTCCACTTATCCCGGCGGATACTCTGTCTCCATAGCTGCGTTGGCCACACCGCAGTGTGTTTACTGTCCTCTACCACATGGAAAAAAATAGAGTTTAAAATAACAAAGAGCAGTTAAAATAATAAGATGGACAGAATCGGTTACTTAAACATCTAGTTGTGACAGAAGGAAGCCAAAACAGTATCTCTGAGGTGAGCACTATATGTATGTTGAGTTCTTGGCTACAGAAACAGTTGATGAGGGTGTCAGCAAGCTCAAACTGACTGCTGCTTTTAAAAATTAACATTCAGGCTGATGTCTAGGTGCATATCAATGAGTTTTCTAAATGTGTGAAGCATATGAGAAAGGAGTAGTAATCAAAACAACAGTATCCTGGTCAACCCACCCCAGCTATAATTGAGGTATATAGAGTGTGTTTTTTCTCTTACAGTAATGCATATTTATGGCTACCATTGATATCATTGGAGAATATTAACTAGAGACTGTTAAAACACTGACTCTGTTAAAAGAATCAGCTCAGAAAATGGGACTAGTTATCAATCAAGATAAGACAGAATTCATGATAATAGCTAGACAGGGAAAGGATATAAACTCCAGCCACATATAAGTCGATAATATGAAAATCAAACGAACGGAAAAGTATAAGTACTTGGGTGCAAACTTCAACCGCTCCAACATGCTGAGAGAAGAAATACAATCTGGAAATAAAGTATACTATGCCCTTCAACATCTGCTAAAGTCAAAGTGTCTGTCTCGCAACACCAAGATCAAAATATATAAAACATTGATAAGACCGGTCGTTTTATATGGCTCTGAAACTTGGAGCACAACTAAAAGAGATGAAGCCTTATTACAGGTTTTCAAAAACAGAGTCTTATGACGAATCTTTTGACCCATCAAAGATGCACACAGCGGTGAATGGAGAGTGAGAAGCAACAATGAAATTCACAATCTGTTTAAATTACCACTGATCACTGGCATCATGAGAGCTAATAGATTGAAATGGTTGGGGCATATTGAAAGAATTTCAGATGTCAGAGAAGTAAAAGCGATATACACCAGGGAGATAAATGGTCGTAGACCACGAGGGATACCAAGAAGACGATAGAGAGATAATATCCAGACAGACCTGCAAACACTTGATGTTACTAACTAGAAAGAGAAAACCAACCAGAGAGATGAATGGAGGCCGGCGATATCTGCATCAGTGAACCTCAAGGGCTAGGAATACTGAAGTAGTAGAAGAAGAATTATGTTTGATTATTCAGTGTTGCGTAGCTTATGTATTAATTGTATAAAATCGTAGGAGTATAGATTGTCAAGTTCAGTATATTTTAAGTGTGAAGAAGAAGGAGAGAAAAAGGAGAAGAACATAAAGAAGAAGAACAAGAAGATGATAAAGTTGAAAAAAAAGGAAGGGGGAGAAGAAAGTAAAATAACTTAAAGTAGACTTAACAGTAATTGTTTTCCTATTCCTCTAGTTCAGAACCATGAACATGGATTGGGGAGGTCAGAACCAGAAGGCAACAGCAGAAATCCATTAATAAAGAAGGCCAGGAGCATTCGTACTCTGTTCCAGAACACTAAAATTATAGTCCACGTTTTGGTGTGCATATTTGCAGTGGCATCATGGGCAGATATGAATGGAATGTGGGCACAGTTGCCTCTCCTGGTGGAGAAGGCACACGAAGGATGGACCCTGCCTTCATACATCATAGTCATCAGTCAGGTGAGTTTGGCTTGTTCGGCTGCAGAATGAGCAGAGGTCATGAAACCTGATTCATCTGTGAAAAGTCTCAAAAGTATCTTTATTTGTCAACATCATCATCATCATCATCATGTAGCAGGTCCTTTGCAGAACATCAGCCTCATCGCAATCTGTCTGAAAGAAACTCGGTCTCTCGCCAGCTCTCCTGCCTTGTGCACTTTTATACCCAAGTGGTGACTTATATCCTCTGCCTATTTTCATGCTGGCGGCCCCTACCCCTTCTTCCTGGAACCATGTCTTCTGCTATTGTTTGTTCAAATCCACCTTCGCACTTGATGTGGCCAAAATATTTCAGCTTTTGAGACAAGGTGCTGTTCATTAGCCAATCTTGCTTGATGTTCAAATCTTTTAGAATTTCAGGATTTCTTATCGTTGTTCACAGTATTCTAAGAATCTTTCTAAAGCATTTCAGCTCAACAGCCCCTATTTTCTTTCTTAAGGAGATATTCCAAAACTCACATCTGTATGTTGCTACAGGGAAGATGCATGCTGTCAAAATGTAACTTTGTTTTCCTTGCTGGTGTTTAACCAGACTTTTAATGCTGATTTATCTTTGTATTACTATGGCAATCTTCTTCTGTCGAACCGCCTCCATTACTGTTTATTATGGAGCCTAGCCATTAGTTAGTTAGTTAGTTAGTTGAGCTATCATCCTTGCACTCTGGACATGTCCATAGGTGCTCAGATCCTCCCCTCAGTGTGAACCCTTACATCCGATGGCTAATAATAGTAGCAGTTCTATGTTGATTAACAAGTCGTCTGGTTTGCGTCTTGTTTTTTGCTATGCCGATCTTAATTCCCAAGTCTGCCATTCTGGCGAGTGATGTGGATTCACTGGCCCCAAAGCCCTCTAACCTTCTTATTTCTCTGAGGGCATTAATAATATCAGCAAGATCCATAGGCTGACCGTTGGTAGTGACAGCGGATCCAGCCAACCTATCAGCTCTTTCACTTCCATCGATGCCTGTGTATCCTGGAACAAAAATAAAGGTGACTCCACGCACAGTGGACTTCTGTAATGATTCAAGCCATTGTCTTCGCACGAACCTGCCTGAATCCTCTGGATCATACTCATTGAATCACTTAGTATGGAGCCTGGCCATATCTTTGTGTAATCACTTTGTCTTATTTAGGACTTTTCAGGCAACCACCTCTTGTGTGAAGTGGGACTGAGCCATATGAGATAATACGCAGTGCAATTCTTCTGCTTCTTTTCCTGGCTTTGTCTTTAAAAAGATGATTGGCGCATTGTGTGTGGTTTACAGCAAAGCTATGATATCCATGTCTTCAAGCCCAACACATCTGATTTTATCAAACCCGGAATTAGTCACTGTTTACAACTTGCTTGCTAAGTTCTGTTCTGTTCTTTTCCCACCTTTCACATGGGAGCTCCAGAAGCTACCCTCAGGAAGATGTGAGGGTGGGGGAAAGGTGCAGTTAAATTAGTTCTCTTGCTTTTAAACACTGTTGTAAACCCTCTAATATTCTGTTACTTTCAAACACTTTTGTAAACCCTCTAATATTCTGTTACTTTCAAACACTATTGTAAACCCTCTAATATTCTGTTACTTTCAAACACTATTGTAAACCCTCTAATATTCTGTTACTTTCAAACACTATTGTAAACCCTCTAATTACAGCTGAGGTCAGAGGAAATCCCACTTTATCTCAATGATGGGAATGAGGCTTGCATTGGGGAGACTGGGAAAACTCTGACACAAAGTCAAACATGACTGTATTAGACAAAAGCCAGTTCCATGGGTTGTTAGCAGGTCTGTGAGAAAGGGGAGGAACACGGGGATTAAGTGAGAGTGGAAATGATGTTAACTGGACACCTGATATATGTGTGTGTTTGTTTATGATTGTATGTGTGCGCGCACATGCAAGCAAGTTCAGAAGATATATGATCAGAGAAATAGACCTCAGGATTCTGTTCTGTACAAGACCTTGAGTGCCCCGGTCAGCTCTGTATGTATATTTAACGGCCTCAAAGGTTCCCCTCTGTTTATTTATAGGAATGACATATACACACCGGAACTACCAATCAAATACCTTTCTTAAAATGTTTGTGTATTCTAGACAAAGCAATAAGGTCTACTTTGTTCGTAAATTGTTGCTGTGATTGTTATTCGACATTTGCTTCGTTAATATAAATTTATGTAACCTATGGTGCCATTTTCAATGGGTTGAACTGAATTCTGTCCGTATTCCATAGTTGTGGATTTCAAGTTGTACGATATACATGGCCAATAAGCACCTTTTTAGGGTGCCTAGTTGACCATGTTTCTTAGTGCACTTGTATTCATGGCGAGGCGCAGACGCCGTCTGGAGGTGACCGGTTCAATTCCCGGCACGGTAACTATAGCTTTCGATTTTTTATGTTGTCTAGTGTGTTCTTCTATTTTTCTACTTCTTTCTGTGAGTGCCGATCAATACACTTTCTGTTACTTGATTAATTCAGCTCTGTATGTGAAGGTTGGGACTAGTGTTTTGACAGTGGTTTGTTTGTGCAGCCTCTGAGATATGGGGAGATGATGAGGGAATGGCAAGCGTGATGAATGTTTTGTAATGAACCAGAAGTATCCTGCCAG